CAAGGAAAATACAGTGGTCACAATCGATTCATGTACGGGGTAAATACAGTGGTCACACTTGACTTATGTACAGGGTAAATATACTGGTCACAATGAATTTAAGTGCACGGGCAATACAGTGGTCACAATGAATTCATGTACAGGGAAAATACAGTGGTCACAATGGATTCATGTGCAAGGAAAATACAGTGGTCACAATCGATTCATGTACAGGGTAAATACAGTGGTCACACTTGACTTATGTACAGGGTAAATATACTGGTCACAATGAATTTAAGTGCACGGGCAATACAGTGGTCACAATGAATTCATGTACAGGGTAAATACAGTGGTCACAATGAATTTATGTACAGGGAAAATACAGTAGTCACAATAGATTCATGTCCAAGAAAAATACAGTGGTAACAATGAATTCATGTACAGGGAAAATACAGTGGTCACAATGGATTCATGTACAGGGTAAATATAGTGGTCACACTTGACTTAGGTACACGGTAAATACAGTGGTCACAATGGATTCATGTACAGGGTAAATACAGTGGTAACAATGGATTCATGTACAGGGTAAATACAGTGGTCACACTTGACTTATGTACAGGGTAAATATACTGGTCACAATGAATTTAAGTGCACGGGCAATACAGTGGTCACAATGAATTCATGTACAGGGAAAATACAGTGGTCACAATGATGGATTCATGTACAGGAGAATTACATAGTTAATGTGGTCTTATCAGATTAAACCGCTAAAATTTATGAAAATGTTAATTCTTGATTAGACACTGTAATATTTTTTTTTACTTCGTCCTAATGGGGACTGCTAATTGTAATGTTAATATTTCAGAAAAACATAGTGTCATTTCTGTGTCTGCTTATAGTGAGACTGTTCACATCATGTGATGGAATGATTTTTATTTTCCGATCATTGTGTCAGAATTTCATGAAGGTTTCTTATATGCTTTTAACTGCAACTTTAAACGATAACTCCAAGCTTGTTTTTCTCAAACTAGGAGCTACTTGGATACATTTATTTTTCAGTAATTTGATAGCAAGTATGTATTGTGCGTGTCAAATCAATCTTACCTCCAAGCCATTTGGTCAATACTTGAATGAAGAATGAGTTATTGCGTGTCCAATAATCAGGTAACCATTACATTTCAAATAGTTTTATAAAAGTATAAATTAAGTTTGATTCAATATAGTGCAAATTCATTCTTAAGTTCACCAAAACTGATGATTGTATGTCGATGAAAAACAATAAGAATTTCAAGATTCCCCTTCCACCAAACTAGATAAATTTTCAATAAAATGAATGCAAATAATAAAATGAATTACCAAGCTAGGATGTACCAGGCCTGTACAGAAACATATATGTACACAATTATCAGCTTTTATCGACGAAAACAAAGTATTAGACCTGATAGGTTTCGAGTTAGTAATGAAAATTTATTGTGGATATCATTGATGTGATTAATCCTTGAATAGGGTTATAGTAACAAGTAGTTTGGATAATGTCGTTATGTAATAAATATTCAAAAGTAAATCCTTTTTCAAGTGTTATGGAGATTCAGTAAGATTACCACTAATTAGTTTAATCCCAGAAATGAAATATGATTCGAAAAGAACAAGTAGTTGAGATATCATGCAATACATATAATTACAAAAAAATAGATTTCTCTTTGACGTTCCGTGTTATGGCGATCTAATGCGATTATTACTAATGAGTTCAATCCCCGATTATCAAAGCGAAGTACTTTGTTTGCCATCTGCCTCGATTTTCAGTTTTGATTATAGGGTGGTAAGGCCTTATATCAATGCGTACAATTATTCTGTCGAATTATTTAATTGACAATTTGCGTTTAAGGTATACCAATTTTCAACAAGAATGGTCACGCTCACATCCGCAATACGTTGAATACACCATTTTCATATGTCATCTAGTGTTAAAGAGCTTCTACGACGTCAAATGTACGTATATCATTGAAGGAAATATCGTTCAAATCTACAACTGTGTTTAAGAAGTACTTGCTAGTCATTTAGAACACAGTAAAGCATAATCTTAACTGATGGTCGACTGAATTCAAAACTATAAAGACGCTATTGAAACGTCTACCAGTAACGCCATTGAAGCGGTTCCCCGCTAGTACAAGCAGTACACGGATAGTGGCGCAAAAAAGATGATGACAATGTTTAAAAATAAGAAAAACAAACATGAGAATGTGTTTTGTTATATCTGTGATTCAGTTTTGTTGAAAGCAAAAACTTGTAATAACATGTCAAATATAAAAATGTATTTTCAGTGATTTCAGTTTATTCGTTCTACAAATTCTTACATGCAAATTTCAGATGTGGAGGCGAAAGTTACCCTTTTTGTGTTAAAGTCATTGATGCCCATTGCCAATTATCCATGATATATTATATAATAATTTGACGTTTGTAGGGCATTATCCAATAATTGCCACGCCCATCAATAAGTCAAGTCTGTTATTATTCTCTGTTGTAACGAAGATTAACATTTACATATACACAAACTACTATATATAGTCAACATATTTAATCGTCATCATTACAGTTATATATCAAGAATCAAACATACAACATTGTCGTTGACTTTGTCTTCATTAGCGCTGACTTCTACTCCATTAGGTTTTACCTACAACACATTGAATCTAATAGACGATATCATCGATCGGACCGCACGAAATACGTCTGGAACTTCTCTCGTTCTCTTTCAAATCACCTGGTATGGCAGCGAATTCAACTCAACAGTTTCTCAGCACGTTTGTAACAAAATCATCACCTGGCACAGCTCTCGACAGTATCGCAACAGGTTTGCTTGAAACATTTATCGATATCACTGCAGCGAATTTTACAGATGCGTTTGTCAATATTACTGTACAAAATTCAACTGAAACATATTTTGATATCAATGCAACGAATATAACTGAAGAAGTACTCGACAGTATTGGTGCGAAACCATATGAACAAGTTTTCGATATTATATCAACGTGCTTGATCGTCATTGTTGCGGTGGTTGGAATTACCGGTAATTCTCTAGTGATTAATATTCTCTATAATAACAAGAAGTTAAGAACTCCTCAGAACATCCAGCTACTGTCGTTAGCTGTAACAGACATGATAGTTTGTATCTTAACAACATCGATGCGGTTTGTTTTTACGGTGAAAAGTCTTCGACACGGGGAAATCAACATAAAAGGCCCACTTTGTACAAGTCAAATATTTGTTTTTTACTCGTCAACCTTAATAACTGTAATTTCTTTGGGAGCTATCAGTGTTTCGAGGGCGATAGGTATAGCAGATAAGTGTTCACCAAGCACCAAAAAAAGGGTGATCTTCAGTTTGATTTTTGTAAGCTGGATTGCAGGGACAGGATATGGAACATGGAAGGCATGGGTCGGGGAAGACCTCTCGTGCAATGTAGATCCCGTAAGCCAGCAAGTGAAAAACGCAACAAGAAGTGGCATACTCATAGTATTTCTAACACTGTGTACAATGGCTGGGTCATATTCCTACATCTACCGTGTGATCAAAAGACATGAGAAATCATTTCAACGAGCTATGGAGGCAGGAGGCAATAGTGGGCCAAGACATCGCAAACCAATGGACCTTGCAACCCTGAATGTATTCGCAACACTGATTTCTACGTTTATGATATCATATTTACCACTTGCATGTTATGGTATGATTGTAGTCAATATTGAGAGTTTCAGAAACGAACATGTTGCTAGTTTTTTTTATTCGGTTATGTGTTTGGGCAGCATGGCTAATCCTATATTGTACACTTTAACCTCCGATCAGTTTAAAAATTACCTACCTTTTAAGAAAAACACATCTAACAACGAAATACAGTTAAAGCAACGAGCTAGAACTGGACAGAAAACCCGTGAAATAACAACCATATATAATACCCATAGTTGCAGAGCACTTCGTTTCCGGAAAACAATGACAACATGTAACAGTATGACTTTATATCATAAACATGAGAGACACTTTCCATGTCAGAAAATATTGCATATATTATCATATATATTGCAAACCGCCAGAGTTTATCACCCAAACTACCTCCAATCATTTCGAGTTTAGTAATTTCAAACTAAAAACTTTTTAAATACACATGTTTTCGTTAAAAATACATGTTATTTTTAAGCAAATTCCGCATTGGAAAATACAAATTAATAGTCAGTATACGAACTATTAACAAACATTATTATGTATGTTTAGATAAACAGGCGTTAGTATACTTAACGCGAAGGGTCATCTTCTAGCATTTGGTGTGAAAGGTAATGGCAATTTAGGAACTCGTAAACGTATGATATTTTAAAAGATGGTGGTAATTTATGATATTTTTAAAAATTATTTATAAGTATTTTCTCATTCGAATAAAGTCCGATTGAGGAGCAACATTGATCTAATGTAAACCGTTTATATTAATGTAGTTATGAGTCGTAATATATATTAATTCAAAGTATATACGTCTATGAAATTTCCTAGGGGAATAATAACTACGCTGGGATTTTTTTTATTTTGAATAACAGATAAAAGTGGGGAAACATTTTTGGAATCCATGGTGGATTTGCAGCGTTTCGTTGACATTTTCCAATAATATTGACAAAACGAACGTCTTTCTTAAGATTGGATCCAATACCAGTTAGGAAAAAATAGCACATTAATGATTAACAAATTCAATCTGTAAGCTCATACAAATAACTAGGAGTATTGTATATGATTACCTGGTTTAAGATGGTGAACAGAAAAACAAAACAATGTTTTCTGTATGGATATTTGCACGTAATGATTGTGGTATACATTTTCACACATTCATGTTACATTGATCAGAAAGATTGCGATTTATGCAGTATGTATATTTAAACTAGGAGTTTACATGACTGGTGCCGTTTGATTGAATTACTACTAGGATACAGAATTTTTAACCATATGTGCTCCAGTGACAGATTGAAAACGTATGGCATTTTGAAAGGGCAATTACAACCAGGAAAGCATTCACTAAGTGCAACTAAAAGTTGCGGGAAAAATATCCTTCATTGAAAATGGAATAGCGATTCTGTGCAAACTAATCAACTGCTAGTGTGAAAATGAATTTTACATGACCATTATAGGATAGTTATCTATATATAGTTATTGTTTATTCCCAACAGTAGACAAGTTTAAACCACTGTGGTAATCTTGTATTAGTAGTAAAAAATGTATTCAAGAACCGTTGAAAGCAGAGTACTTTCAATACAAGAGTTTTATATATATTTACTTAAAAGGTTACCGATACACACTATGTTACGTTCTCTTGTGTGTGTTTTATATTACTGTATACTGTAAGTCAAGTGGGATTTTGGCATTGAAGTTCGATTAGTTTTTTCTAGTGCAAAATACTATATAACTTTGGCATTCAACTAATACATTTTATCATATTACTAATACACTTGATTTCGATTTCAACTTGATCTTCGCCAGGTTTTTTTTAATAAACTATCATTCATTTTTATACTGAACGTTTCAGGTTCAGATTAGAAACCTCTATCAAAAGTTGTTTTGGTGTCTTCATGTATGACGACAAAGTCAATGTTTTATA